TATAAACATATCCTCTGGTTGGATCCCTGAACAAAACCAGGATCTGCTGAAATGGGGAGAGGCCAGGGGGGCGGGGGGGCGGCAAAAGTCACAATCTCTTGCAAGGCTTCACTCCATGATTTTGCGGGGGGGCTACACCCACCTTATTGAGAGAGAGAGAGAGAGAGAGAAGAATCCATCAGCAGAACAGACGTCACTGGACTATTTATTGTTCAGCTTAGAAATCATTACATTTATTTAAACAGAAACATAATACATCTCACGATGGCGGTAAACGTTGTGACCGGTTTTGGGGTGCTAATCCCCAAAGAGCAACCTCCAGGCTCTCACGTGCCTTTCCTAAATTGCTTTATTTTTAAAGCTGTCCCCAAGTGGTCACAGGCCTTTGAAGCTGAGTTACTCTGTTGAGTCAAACATCCAGACAAGCCTCCCTTCCACATGATAAATACCATTTGATCTTAGCTTGAAGGCCACAATCAACTTCCAGTCCAAACCTACAAATAATTCTACAAATAATGCAACTGTCTGTGTGCACGGGATGAGTTCTTGCACACCATTTTTGGGAAGCACTTTTGCTTGTAAGAAAAGGTTTGGGTAGCGAACGTTTATCCGGCGTGAGTTGATGGGGAAATCGTAAGCCGGGCCAGCGCTTCCTTCTCCCTCCAGCATCTCCACTGCAAAAGTGATCATGGAGCTGGGGAAGGATGGGAAAGGGGAAGAGAAAGAATAGCTGTAGTAGGACGAAATGATTTACAAAGAGAAGGGCTCTATTGCACATCCACAAGATGATTGCTTTGAGACTGAGTACATCAGAAATGGGGAAGAAGAAAATGGTGACCCGGGGGCTGGTTATAACCGTTCCTCCAAGGTCGGAGTTTAAAATGTTGTATTTGTGGTGCAGAACTCCACATGGCCACTAGATGGGGCCAATGCTTTGGAGATGTCTGTATCACTTGGCCGCCCTCCAGCGGCCACCTGGCGTTTTGCGAGCCAGCCAAGGAAACCCTGCTTCCGAGAGTTTCAGTTGCACAATTTCAAAAGCAAGGGAAGTATGCAAGTTCCTCAGGCTGTCTTTACAAGGGAGTAACAAGTAATGGGAGAATCTCCAAAGAATATTTTGCTGGCACTCACAAGGCCTAGCTGGCTAATGGGCTAAAACACCACAAAAATTATATAGTACTCTTGGGTACTGATTGGACCTCCTTTGAAGAGCTGCCACAGGTGACGGAGAGACACTGGTGACTACGGTACCTAGGACAAATGGTTTCAACCTCGGAAAGGTGTAGTCCAGCCCACCTTCCAGTTCATCATCCATTTTCCGACCAAGCTCTCAGTCCAGGGCTTTGCCTTCCCCTGTTCCCCTGTTCTGATTTGCTTCCGCCCATGTCAAGATTAAGAAACGAAAAAAAGAAAGTCAGGTCAAAGCTCGGTGCCAAAGGAGCCATCAGCCCCCTCGAGAGGGGCCAGTCCACCTAAAACCAAGCCATTTGTTCTCCATATGCTGAAAAGTCTCTGAAAACAGTTAAATAAGGAATAAAGGACCCCACAATAAAATAAAAGCCAAATATGAATATTATCGGAAGGAACATCCTTCTTCTTTATGCGTAGGTTCTGTTTGCAGATAATGGCCCATCACCTCGGCCGGCGAATACGGCTTTGGAGAGTAACCCAGCTGGTTACGTGCTTTGTCTATCGAGAAAGTGTTGGTAACAACGACGCTTTTCACCTGTGAAAGGAAACAGACAATGACATAAAACAAGTGGTCTCTGAGCTTTTTGGATCCGTGGCAGATCTTAGCAGTGGGCTGTGAGAACACTCACAAAATGGCTCCCGGTGTAGGCCTGGCCTGGCAAGTCACCAGCTGTGCATTCAGCTGATAAAATCCACAAGGACAGTAGGCTGGCCAGGCGCAAAAGAAGCAGCAGGCGAAAATTTTAGAGGATTTTTTTTTTTTTTTGACAACATGGAACCATTTCTTGAAGAGAGAAGCCAGGCAGAGCCGATCTGAGATGAAAAGCGAATCCTGAAGATATCTCAGGCCTTAGTGAATCAAGAAATACTTATTTTTGGATGTCATTTTGCAGCTTGGATGCTTAAAACAGCCCATGGCTCGGGGATCGTGCCATAGTTGTCAAGGTTTTGGTGTTACAAAACAATCTTTTGGATCTCACTCTGATAAACAACTAGGCTGATGAAACAGTTTCGACGGTGCCAGCAGAAAGCTGGGTTAGTCTACAGTGGCCCCAAATCAGGAGTCTGTTAGCACCTTTTCCAACTAATACATTTTATTAAAAGGTACCAGGTTTTATGAGCTGCAGCAAACTTCATCAGATTCACACAGTGCCTTGACTGATGTAGGATTTAATCCGGGGTGAGTTGGAAGTGAGCAAAGATAGGTTAGTTACACAGACACAGGTGACAACATGAGGCAGATTGCAAGGACCTTCTCATTGTTAATACAATGGTAATGTATTAAAAAAAACCACTGGGTTTGTTGAGATCTTGTGAGATGGGCTGAAATATTTTGATGTATGTGAATTCAGCCCTTTCTCTCTCCGTAAAGGACTTCTGACTAACCACAACACCAAACTGAGTTTCTTCCAGTTATTATGGACTACCACGCCATCATCCCACCTATGTTGGCTGATGGGAGTTTTGTCCAGAAGTCACTTAGATTGGAGAAAACTACGATAGCATCATCTCCCTTGAATAACTGCTGTGCAAAGGTTAGAGGGCTTACTCTTAAGACAGGTTCCCATGTTTGTGGTAAGTGCCCCAGCTGGAAGAAACAAAGGTGTGGTGGAAACAGGGTGCTGGTAATCTCCACTCACAACCCAGTTCCTTCAGGTTGCTTCCCTGCTGTTATCAGAGCAAGCAGAAAAATTATGATTTTTTTTTTTACCTGCATTTGGGTCAGCAATGGTGTAAAGTTAAATATGGGATTAAGAAGCCAGTGCAGATATTCCATAACGATAGCTGTAGGAGAAAGAAGATTAACATTAAAAGGGCAGGAATGAGGAATTTTTGGATTAATCCAGATTTAAGAGTACAAGAAAAGCATGTGGGCGGAACCCTATGGATTGGCCTGCCCTGATCAAGGGATCGCAAGGTGTTGATGGCAACCTTTCTGGGTCTTGAAGGCATGGACATCTAGGTGCTCCCAAACACCTGTCCCAGTTGATTAAACGTTCAAAAAATAAGAATAAATTGGAAGCTGCCAGGCCCCAGAACAAAGCATCAGCCTCTCTACTCATTGATAGCAATGTTTTTGGGTCCCACATAGGTTGCTATCAGATGGTAGAGAACATCTTGGGGGCTAATTCACCTGGTAAACAAGTTTTTCAAGAAAAGGCCAGACAGCCATTTGTCCAGAATGGCATGAGGATTCCTGCCCTGGGCAGGGGGTTGGACTAAAGGACCCCCACTTCCCCTCCAACCCTAGGATCTAAGAGTACTTTGGGACTGGCCATGCCCACCACAGCCACCACTTTGTGATTGAAGAGCTTCCTCTTGGTAATCATTTTCTAAGCACACTAAAGCCATTCCCCCAAATTCCGATGTGTCTCACTTAACAACAACGAAAGGTTACTTATTCTTGCCACAAACAGTGTATTGATTTATTTTATTTATGAATAGAAAGTCTTCATTAAATTGGAGATTTCCCAGACAAGGTAGGCCAAAGGATGTTGAAGCTGCAAAATGAAATGTTTTGATTACCTGTGATTTTCAAAACAAAGGGGGAAAGATACAGACTCGGCTTCTGGTGGTCCAACTTTTCATACTGTAAGGGGCAGAAAAGAAACACGCATGGAAAAAAAATGACATCTTTTCCCATGCCATGATGAATTTCAAAAGTCGATATGGGCGAGAGTTACATCGGGAGCTAGAAATCAGGAGAATCTGGTAGCAACTTTTCCAACGAACAGACTTTCTCAAAAGGCAGGAGCCTTTGTGAGCTCGCTTCATCAGGTGCATGGAGGGCCTAGATGCAACTGGAGATATCGCTCCATGCATCTGATGAAGGGAGCTATAGCTCATGAACCCTTAGGCCTTTTAATAGAATTTATTAGTTGAAAAGGTGACCCCTGATTTTCTGCCACCATAGGCCAACTCAGCTCTCCTTCCACAATATCTACTGGGAGCTAGAGTTTCTCAAGGCAACAATGTTGGTTGTGGCGTCCTTAGTGCTCTCTGAGCTTGGTTGTTTGGTTGGTTGTTGTTGAGCCTCCATGTGAGGGAGTGTAGGGTTTGATCCCTGTTTATATACAGTCGTTTGCCCTGCCAGTTTTGGTAGGAGAGTGGTTTTCTCCTTGTGGTATTGACTGGGATATTGTCTTCTGCTTGATTGTTTGTCTGGTGTTAATCTCTGCTTATCTGGATGTTGACTGCTGGAGAAGATGTGTTCTGGTCTTTTGGTTTCCTTCTTAGCTTTTTTATTGCCTCTTTTGAACGGTATGTAAATATGGTTTATCTCTTATGTGTCTGTTGATGGCTGATTTGTCTGAATGCCAAGCTTCCAGGAATTCCCCAGTGTTTGTGGATTTATCATCTTGGAGTCCTTAATCTCACAACACATGGACAGACTCAACCACAGTCTCAATCTAGTTGGGTAATGAAATATCTGCAATCAAATGACAAAGCTCAGAAAGGACCAAGGACTCCACCGTTCAACCCTGAGCTGCAGATAGTCTCTTCCACTGGAATGTTGGTTGTATTGATAACCACCTGCCTCTTAATACCAAGAGAAGCACAAAGTAGATTGGTTAAGTGGCAGAATGGCAAGATAAAGAAACAATGGGTTTAATCCTCAGGCAGCATAAGAAGACTCTCTACTTCATCTTGGCAGAGGGGAAGCTGTTGCTTAAAGTAGCTTCTTTGTCCTATACCATGAAGATCCTTAACTAGCTGAGAAAGGTGTCTAGATGGCTTCTGCTGAGTTTGAGCTCAATTTGGTCTTTGTCCAGGACTCCATTGGGGGATATTTCCAGATCTTTTGGAATTCTGGAAGTTGTCCTAATGCAGGTGCAGAAAACTGGGGTCAACACTACTCATTGCAGGAATGCATGAAGTGGGATACTGTTTTGTGATGAGGTCTCCAACAGTTCACCAGGACTGAGAGCTCTTTTGCAGAAAGATGGTCTTGCTCGTCTACATCTCTAGCTCAATGACCTCTTCTATCATGGTGGCCTTTCTACAGAGTATGCCCTATGACTTGGTCTCTTCTCAAAAGTTTTTTTTTCTAGGCAAGAAAAGCTCTTACCAGAACTACTATCCATTTGAAGAAATTGACTTTTTCTCCATCGTGTACAAAATAGGCTTGACCACTCTGGAGACAAATAAAAAGGGGGAACGAGAGAGAAAGGAGAGACACAAAATGAGAGCTTGGAATGTCCATTTTTCTTCTCGTTTTAAAAACAATGACATTGTGCATTTAAAATTAGAAATGTGATTTCATCCTTGTACAAAGGTCAACCCATCCCATAATTGTCAAAATCATTCAAAAGGGTGCAGTCAGACGCAGTGTTAACCTCTACGATAACATGCATGCAATTCTTATATTTTTAAAATCTATATTAGATGTATGCTTTTTTTTTTCCTGATTAGCATCTGGTGGGTTAAATCAGTGTTTTTCCAAACTTGGCGACTTGAAGATGTGTGGACTTCAACTCCCGGAATTCCCCAGCCAGCCATGAAGTCCACACATCTTCAAGTGGCCAAGTTTGAAAAAAACACTGGGTTAAATCAACTTTTATAGAAGTGTTGGGATCAAAAGGAGGGTGACATTACTTCATTTTTCTGGCCATTTGTATTTATTTATTTATATGTTGGGTACTTACAGCTGCCCAACTCACAAAGAATGTGATTCCAGGAGGCATGGACCATTAAAAACAGAATCACAATAAAGAAGCAAGCCAAAATGAAAGCAAGCAGACTCAGCAACATATATTACACCCCACGGGACAGCTTATCTGATCTTGGCCCAAATGCCCCAGGGCATAGCCAGGCCCTCAAAGCTTTGCTGAAGGCTAACAGTCCCACAGGGCAGGCAACTTGACTTCTGGCAGCCATTCTTGTCAGAATGGGCCCAACGTGGGGTCAGAGGGGGACTACTTACCGCGATGAAATTTTTCTCTGCCGTCAGAGCTTTGCTGGCAAGGAGGAAGGCTTGTGTTGCATTATCTACATGAATCCAGTTCATCCATGTGTCCGGGGTTTCAGAGATTAAGTGTACGGGATGTCTCTGGATAACTTTCTATGAAAGGAGAATAAAACATAGAGTCATGCCTTCCGCCCTTCTTTCTATCGAGTAATTATCATCTTATTCTTTTCCCCGTCCTCTTGGGCCCTTTTTAATCTCCAGTGACTTCTGGATGGATTTTATTCTTCTTTATATAATCTAGTTTGAATGGTAAAATAAGTCAAGGCTACAATGTTGCGCAACAACCAAGTACCTTTCAAAAAGTCTCGTTCGGTGTTCCTCAACCTTGGGAGCTTTAAGATGTGTGGACTTCAACTCCCAGAATTCCCCAGCTGGCTGGGGAATTCTGGGAGT